CTCCCCCTCCTCCTCCTCCCCCCTTCTTCCTCTTCCTCCCCCTTCCTCCTCCTCATCCCTTCTTTTTCTTCCTTCCTTCTCTTCCCTTCCTTCTTCTCCTCCCTTCCTCCTCCCCGTCCTCCTATTTCTTCTTACTGATGTTGATGAGTCTGTGTCACCTCCACCACAGAATTTATTAACTTTAGCAGCAGTTGGCAAAATCATCAAGCTTGGTAGAATTGTGAATAAATAAAAACTAAACGAAGAGTAGATAAATCTGACGGACTTCCCCATGGGTAATCATGATCTTTAATGTATGATCTGTAACGTCTGTTTTGCCTCAGAAACTCATTTGTTTCCTTTAGAATTGGCAGGGACCTTCAAATTGTCTAAGCCAACATACTACCTGAAGTAGGAGTTTCTTTTAGAGTCTCTGCCGAGTATTCATCTAGTTTTCACTGTTGGAGACCTCTTTCCTTTGAAAGGTGGCCTCTTTTTTATGGATTCCCAGCTCTGTGCTGTGTAAAGTTGCTAGAAAGTTGAACCCCACTGTACTACTTATTGACTGAGATTGTTTTTAAAGAGCACTCTGCCCCAGTACAAGCCGTAACAGGAAGTATAATAACTAATAGTAACAAAAGTGATCGAACACTGCTATGTGCCAGTCTCTGTTCTAAGTGCTTTACATGATTAACTCATTTACCCTTCATTACAGCCTTCTGATAGAGCAGTTGTTATCTCCAGTTTCCACCTACAGACACTGGTCCGTGGAGGTTAAAGTCCTACAGCTAAGGATAAATGGTAGAACTGAGAATATAAAGCTGGGCAGTGTGGTTCCAGAGGCCGGGCTGTCAGCCACTATGCTCTGTTGCTACTCTGTGACATTTAAAACATTAAGAACATGTTTTTTGAGGACAGAGACAATGGGGTTTGAGTCCACCTGTTACTAGCTTCTGTTGTCACTCTAACTCAGAATAGCAATGCATTAGGTAAAAAGACTGCATGTACGTGGACTCCATAGGGTATTGGTTTTGAAATGCTTGTCTTCGGAATTGCAGATGATTGTTCGAATAGTCCAAAGCCGTATCTTGTAATAGTAATCACATGAAAGAGACATCAAATATGTACTTTTGAGTCTTCTTCAGCTCAGAGTATATCACAGAGAAATATTGGTTCCATCCGTAAGTTGGAATATTTTTATTTCAACTCTTTGATAGTCTTCTACAAGGATAATTGGGCAGATAATCATATAGGAGCTTGGGTTCAAGTAGGTACATTTGTTTCCCTGATTTTATGATTTCTCTAGAGTTTGTGGACTAAGACTTTGGCACATCCGATTTTTCAACTTTTGAGCCCTCTTTGTGACTCATTGGTGGTCACATCATCTCAGTAACAAGTATAAACACATTGGTTTGCATTCCTAACCAGACCTCCTTCAGAGAGTAAACCATTTCATGGAGTCTGTGTTCGCTCTGACATCATGTTTTCCTTTATATTTCAACTAGTGAAACGTGTTCCTGGAGCTTCTGAGTATCCTGTCAAAGACTTGAGTACCCCTCCAAATTCCCCAGGAGGTGGACGAAACGTTGGGCCTGCAACCAGCCCCACCAGAAGCAGCGATATGTTGTATCTGATAGTTGGCTGCGTGCTGGGTGTCATGGTCCTCATTCTCATGGCTTTCATCGCAATGTGCCTGTGGAAGAACCGCCAGCAAAGCACCATACAGAGTAAGCCATTCAGAAATATTTCCTTGTCCTTTTATAAAGATGGGTGGGAAAATATTGTCAGAATACATACTGATCCCTAATACTTTTGTGCATGAGTGTCATGGCATAAAACATGTTAGATACTCTTCATTCAGGGAGGGGACTTTAAAACGGTTCTAGCTGTCAGCCAGAATAAGTGGAGCATCACATTAAATTGCCCAGTAGAAATAAACAGCAAAGCCAAAACCAGGCAGGTCTCTAAGTAAATAGCTGACTTAGTGCTGGGAAACCCTGGCTTTGTCGGACCACCAAAGAGCAAAGAGTTTTTGAAGCGTGAGCTCTGGGATTGCTGCAGGAACGCCTTCTTACTGGTACAAGACCTGTCAGCAGGAATAGAAGAGGCTGGAAAGTCTGGAAAGGAATACTTTTCTAAGTTGCTTTTACTGAATGACACAAATTAAGGTAACGTGGTCCTGTTTCAGTACCTGGTGTACCCAAACAGCTCGAGACCGGTATCTCTTCCCCCTAAGTGTATCTGTGAGCTGAATCATTAAAGGAAAAGTACTGCTTTGGTTGTCTGGGCGAGATTAATCTGGTTAAGGTCATTTCCCTTTATGACTTGGTAATATGTTCAAAGATAGAAGCTTATGATAGTGATGGTCATTCAGTCATTTATTCAGAAGATACTCATTAACTATCTTTGAGGCGCCTGGCACTGTTGTAAGCAATGAACGCTGGTAAAAAAGTAAACATGGCCCCTGCCCTGTGAACTTACAGTTGTAGTGGAAAAGATAATCAGATATACTGATAATAACTCACCTGTGCAAAAAGTTCAGTAATAGGAAGAACACCTAATCCAATCTTGGCATGTTCTAATACCTTCAAAGAATTTATCCGAACTCTGCCAATAAGTACTGTAGAGTTTAGGTACCATATTCTCTAAGGACTATTTCACTTTTTCTAGATATGTCTAGTAAGTGTACCCCTGGAAATCAGAATTGAGGCAACTATTTTATGCTTTTAGTATAAGGAAATGGAATAATTAGCCTTTAGTAAACCACAACTTCCACATGGACTGTATTAACCAGGGAACTGTATGGATAGTCAGTGAATGTATACATAACTCCATCCTTTCATTTAAAAGTGTTATTACTATTTAAAATATCCTACCTAGGGGCGCCTGGGTGGCTCAGTTCGTTGGGCATCCAACTTCAGCTCAGGTCATGATCTCGTGGTTTGTGAGTTCGAGTCCCGCGTCGGGCTCTGTGCTAACAGCTCAGAGCCTGGAGCCTGCTTCAGATTCTGTGTCTCCCTCTCTCTGTGTCCCTCCCCCATTCGTGCTCTTTCTTTCTCTCTCTCTCTCAAAAATAAATAAACATTTAACAAATTCAAAACAATAATAAAACATCCTACCTAAAGGTTGCCTTTTGTTGTTTAAAAAAAACCTTTTTTTAGTGTTTTATTTATTCTTGAGAGAGAGAGAGAGAGAGAGAGA